GGAGGGGGTGTGATATTGATCCCTCATGGGGAGGGGGTGGGATATTGATCCCTCATGGGGAGGGGGTGTGATATTGATCCTTCATGGGGAGGGGGTGTGATATTGATCCTTCATGGGGAGGGGGTGGGATATTGATCCCTCATGGGGAGGGGGTACAGAAATTCTAAAAAATTATCCTCTTAAAGTGTTATAGGTTTAAATTCATCAGGAGAGTCATTTCATAATAATTATTACAAGTCCAAGACAACTCAGCTGCCTTTTGCTTGTAGTATGACCATGAAAATGCTGAGCTGAAGCAGATTTGTGAGAAAAGAGGGGGTGGGAGTACATTTAGCTATGTTAATTTGATGGAAGGTGCATGCTAGGATAGGAGGTAATGGAGATTTTATAGTCATCAACCATTTACAAATATCCATGTACAAAGCTATACAGTAATAGCTGTGGTTCAAAATCATTGAATTACATTTCAATCAATTCTTTTGCTTTCAGGAGGTTAATAATTGGTGTCAGAAGCTATGAATCTACTTGTCTTTTCTCTGGAAGGTAAATGGACACGCAAATAAGTAATACTAGTTTTATGATTGGTGATATCAAAGGCGTACACTGTAGTTTGCGGGAAGGGGGGAAGGGCTAGGGGACTCAATAATGTCTGCATGCTCCTGCAGATGATAAATAGAGGATATTACAAGGGCGCGCGGAGATACGAAATTTATCTTCGAGTGTTGAAAAGATCTTTCACGAGTGAGCATAGCGAAAGAGTGAGAGATTTTCAACACGAGAAGATAAATTTCTTATCTCCAAGCGCCCATGTAATATTCTGTTTATTATATAATTATCCATAAAATCAACTTAATAAGCTTTTTATTAATAGCTAACTAATAGCTTAAATACACATGGTAACGATATTTTCACATGTGAAAACAACATGTTATTTTCACATGTGAAAATATCAGTTTTTCGAAAAAGAGAAATATAGGTATTTTAATGGATAATTATATGATAAAACAAACTATGCATTCAGTGACACTGCCCCACGTGTGCAGGATATTAGGGTGTGTGCTCTATGGCTTCACGTTATCATTACATTTTATATTTGACATTATTGCTCAGTATTTATTCGCTATCTGTATAAATAGTCGTGGTGAGGTGTGTACCATGGCTCCACTACACATGCRTAGTGGAATGAAAGATCATCCAATGTATGAGTACTCATTGCTGGCTCTAGTCACCCTGACTAAGGTAGAGTAACTGCATTAATTAGCTATCCTCCTGCTTGAACTTTTATAATTGAAACCTAAAACAACCTCTGAGGTGATCAAAGTAACTCTCCAGGGCATTGCTAACTGACAGAATGGATTGGAATTTAGCATTTAGCCATTGTGTAGTTCCAGAAATCATCCATACCCACCCCACAGAGGAATTTGGAATTTCTGAAGAGTAGGGGGGTCATTGAACGAACAAAAATTACAGAGTTTGTATGGAAGAAAATTGGAATTTCTGGGGGGTAGGGGGTGTCTTTGAAAAATTCCTCTGTGAGGGGGGTTATGGATAATTTTTGGAGCTACACATTATGCATTGAACAATAGGTAATCAGACACATACTTCATGACTAGTTGACATGACATGTGTCAATCAACAATTGGCCTACTTTTGGCTGATTTTGGCCAACAGGTGGTCAATAGCTTAAAAAATACTTTTTGTGGCTTTTATAGTCTGGCTGTGAGCCGATGCACAGCCAATGCACAGTTGAGGATATAAACATATACAACACAGCCCAGGAACGTGTACATTTATCACAATTTTTGTGTGAGCAGATCAYGAGCTGATCACACCAAATGCTTGTGATCAAATTGTGATCAAATTGCGAACAGCAATGCAGAAAGGTGTGAACAAATTGTGAGCAGCAATCAGCCCCTGATCAAATGTACATATATTTCTGGGCTGTACTGTATTTAATTATTTGTCTCTAGAGCAGTCGTGTACAGCTTTCTCAAAGCTCTAAATGTCTCCTTAGATGAATGTTTTGTATTATTTGTAGATCTTAGTTCTTACATTAAAACCAAGTATGGAAGTATTGTTCTCCCATTCTCTCAGGGTAAGTCTTTTTCCTATGGCATTTTTGATTCTTTTGACACATGTCAATTATCCATCTGACATTTGATTGGTTATCTTTCAGGGTCCTGTTGATTCTCTTCCACTTGTTTCCTGGCAGTTTGCTATCATTCAGGTCGCCAATAAAAAAGTTATTGACCCTGTAAGTTGTGTAGTGTGTCTTTTACTTTGTGGATTTTTTAAATCTCTTGTTACCTTTTTTACCTCCCTCCCTCCCTCCCTCCCTCCCCTTCTTCTTCTTTTCTTCCTTTCTTTCCTTTTTTCTTTCTCTCTTCCTTTCTTTTTTCTCCCTTTTTCTCCTGTTTTTCCTTTCTGTCTTTACTTTTTCTGTCTTTGCTTCCATCCTTCATCTATGTCTTTCTTCCTTTTTTCCCTTGTTTTCTTTTCTTCTTTCTTTTTTTCTCTCTCTCTCTCTTCAGCCTTCACCATCCAGCTCCATCCCACCCTACCATCCATCCTCCTATGTCTCACTCTGTGTCTTTTTCTTTGTCCCCCCCCCCCCCCCCACTCAATCCATCCTTTTCTCTCTTTTTCTCCAGCCTTTAAAAACCCTCTCCATCCACCCACCTACCCTTGCTCTTTTCTCTCTCCGCATGCCTTCACTTTATTTTTCTAGGTTCTTCTTCCATCCACTTTATTCTCATCATTTTATTTACTTCATCTCAATGACAGGTTCTAGCTTTTGGTAGAGGCAACACCATTTATTTCTTTCAGGTAAAGTAACCCAGTGGTGGCAGTTTTAAGGGGATGTCTGTTATCTAGAAAGCCAGTAATTGCTTCCTCTTTAGATTTTACATTCACATCTACAAAGCTTYTTGCYGTTGTATCACAGCATGGGACAATCACAACAGAGCTAGGCTCCAAACTAAGTGAAAGCCCAAAGATCAAATTAGAATTTAGAAGTTGATTTTTGAGGAGGGAGGAAAAYCGGAGACCCCGGAGAAAAACCCTCRAAGCACAGGARRGAACAACCAAACAACTCTACTCACATACGACTTCGAGATCAGCAGAACTTGAACTCGGGCCGCATTGGTGAGAGGCGGTGCATTAGCAGGGCACGCCACCGGTGCTTCCCATGTAGCAATAGAATTAGTCCTCAAGACCGAATGGGCTATGAGTCAATAACCCATGAAGCCGAAGGCCAAATGGGCTATTGCCTCATAGGCCATGAGGGTGAGAGGACTACAAAAATATTGTTTTAGTCAAATCCAACTAGCCAGTCAAATATATAGATACAAACAAATTATGTTTTGGTTTTCGAAGCTGACACACTTTGCTACTAGAAAGATATAAATTATAGCCTAGTAGTAGCTCATCCAACAAGCATTGTTGATAGACCACTAGTTGGATTTGACTAATACTCTTTATTCAGGGAGCCAGATGGCCATGGCTAGTCACTCAATTCCAGCCCCTGGACCTGCCCTTACCAACTCATTGTATCTAGAAATGTCAAATTTTTATTCAATAATTGACTAAAAATTTGACATTACGAGATACAATGAGTTGGTAAGGGCAGGGGCTGGAATTGGGTGGAATTATTATACTACTGCTGTGTTATTACTACATTGTGAAGAATATATGAAAGAGGTTTTTCTTTATCTACATGTACACAAGCCAAAATGAACCATCTAATTTCTATCCTTTATGTTTAGGCTCACTGCACAGAAGAAAAAGAGGTGAAGTTCATGTTTTTACAAAGAATTGAGACCAACTACAAACTGATTGCTTTACATGTAAGTGTGCTCTTCTCTTTATAGCATCTTTCATTTCTCTCTTCTATCTTCTTCTATCTTCTTCAAGATACTGCTCCCTGTAAATTATTTAAAGGTATCTACTGTGAGAGAATGATAAGGACTGGGCTCCCTGTGGAGGGAGTTTGAGTGACGTGTGAGTGAAGAGCCGTGAGAGCAAGAGAGATGTTTTGGAGAGAAAGGATGTTGTGAGAGAGGATCGAAATTGTAAAGAGGATAAACTCGTTATTTGGATTAAATCTTAAAGCAGGAGTTGGAGACTATATTCATAAATTATCGTACATCTACTATTACTGCATGTGCACCTCTACCCCTATCCCAAGTGTTCCCTTTTTCAAGTCCCAGGGCTTGCCTAGCTTCTTTGATCTAATCCCCACCCCTGTGTGTGCCAAACCTCATGTCTTGTGTCTCTAGAGCCAGAACCCCATACCCTCACCCCTAGTGCCTCTCCCATCCTATCTCCAGGTGTGCTCTCCAACCCTCACCCCTAGTGCCTCTCCCATCCTACCCCTAGGTGGTCCTCTCCAACCCTCATCCCTAGTGCCTCTCCCATCCTACCCCGAGGTAGTCCTCTCCAACCCTCATCCCTAGTGCCCCTCCCAACCCTAATACCAGTTGTCTAATACCAGCTCTCATCTCAGTTGTTTCTGTCAACCCCCACACCTACATCCCTTTACTTTGTACCCCTAGGTGGCCCTCTCTAACACTTACTTACTTACTTACTTACTTACTACCTACTCATACCACTAAGTGTATGTAGTAAGTAAAGATAATGTTGCTCTTTTCCAGTGGTTAAACCCTCACGTGATCAGTACCTTAGACACACTAGAAAAGCTTCATGTTCTAGACGTAAGAAGCCGGGAAGAACTGGAGGTAGGTAATTCATTTTTCTGTATTTTTAAATACATGCTGGCTTTATAATCAAGTTAGGAAAGCTTTTGGTTCAGAAGGACCCCACAGATTAATTTATGCATTCATATTTTTTCAGGTGGTAGATCTGAGTGACGTGCAACTAGTTTACAGCAGTAGCTACTTCAAGTCCTTGTCAACTGGTGGCAATGTCAGTAAGGCCTTGGTAAGTTATAAAAAGTAGTAAATGTAAGAAGCATGGGTGGCGTAGCAGTGAGAGCACTCACCCCTCACCAATGCGACCAGGGTTCGAGTCCCGACGAGCTCGGTGTTGTATGTAAGTAGAGTTGTTTGTTGGTTCTCTCCTGTGCTTCAAGGGTTTTCTGGGTTCTCCGGTTTTCCCCCCTCCGCAAAAATCAACTTCTAAATGCCAATTGGAATCCAGTGAAAGAAGAGCCACTCTGTGGAATCCACAGCTGCTAAATCCATTATTAAAGCTGCATTAATTTTATAAATATTTTAGACCTTAAACCACTATTGGAGTATTAATATTGAAATGCTCATTGAACGAATGCAGCAAGGCTTATGCCAGACCATTTTCACATCGTGCATTAATTTACTTCCAATCCAATTTAATACCTGAAACACGGCATAAATATGGCATGGACATGTTCGCTTCCAAAGTCACAGCACTGCTAGACCAATCACATTGCGCAAGAATTTACTCTCCATCCAGTCAAATACCTGAAACACAGCACAAATACACAGTCACCACCAAGGTAACAGCACTTCCAGACCAATCACAATGCGCGAGGGAAAAAATCAGCCAATCAAATTTCTAGATAACATCACGGTCGTGATAAGACACATACAGCCCTTAGCTTTTCGTGTGATGTTTAATAAACAAGCAGGAGTGTTTTATCGGGTTTAAAGCCACAAAGCATAACCGATTGGTTTTAGACCCGATAAAATTCAATTGGTTCAAAGGCTCATTAATTATTCATTAGTTTCTGAAAGTCATATGAAAACTGCTTTATACTACATTGCCGTGGGAGGGCAAGTCAACCTGTAGTGTACCTTCCTCTGCAAAAATCTGCTTTCATTCTCCTCATGAAGATGATGTGTTGTGTCATTACAGGCTGCAGCTAGTGAATATTCCTGTTACCAGACCATCAACGTCTTTAATGGTCAGATGCTGGTCCTTGGAAGCAAGGTTTGTTGTCCACATCTAAACATCTATATCTTAAGTTCCATTAGAAAAAGTGCTAGTTTAGTGTTAGTAAGATTGTACCCAGGATGATTATGAAAGGATATTAGATTGCATAGGTTTTCTTTATTTTGTTTTGTTTCCTTCTTGCTAGTCTCATATGCAGCTGCTATAGAGGTTTTGTACATCATGTGCCGGCGCCATAATCCAGCTTGGACTGCCTGTGGTTAGATGGCAGATGGCAGTCCCTTTGTACTTGGTAGTTGAATTCTTTCTCATGCAAAACGAATGTATTGTTCCTGCCATCTAACATGGCTGCCGTCACGTTACGGTGCAAAATCGCTATTAGTGTCGTCACGCAACGTTCACTACCAAAAGTAGCTAGTCAGCGGAGTGAGCGTTGTGTAACGACACCAATAGCGGCTGTGCATGAGACTACCTGTTTACATGAAATACATTGAACATATATTGAAACTGATCAGGGGCCTGAGTGGAAGCTGTTTATTCACCCAACCCATCCCTGGACTGAGCCATGCTTAGTATGACTCGCACTTCAATGTGAACTGCAAACATTTTGAGACAATCTATCACTGATAGACCACTAGTAGCACAGCCTATCRGAGTGCAGGATATGTGATATACCATGAGTAGGTTTCTTCTAATTATTAATAGTCTAGCCCTGACCAGTCATTAAACATTGGTATTTGTTTTTTAGTCTATACATGTATTGACAATAAGGACTTGGAAAGATGTGAGTACTGATCTTAACTCATTATTAATCCTTAACATCAAATGGTTATTGATATCACATATGMACACACTGCTGACCCATTTGAGAGGCGGTCCCAAAAGAATATGGAATGGGAATTTSGATTTTTTCGATTTTTTGCTTGGAAAAATAACATTTGATGGATGCACTGTGGCAAGTGAACAACCTCTGTTTAGCGACCTCTTGACAATTTCTTGATGGTGGCGGCTTAAAACAATGTTGTTGTTTTTTTTCCCACGATATTAAACAATTTTATTAGGGTGCTTATGTGAAATATCATATAGCACCTTCTTTTACTTGATATTTTCACGATGTTTTTATTCCTCGATTTTGGAGGTCGCATATTTTGTGATACAAGATTTTAATTTTGTCACTTTGTTCTATGGCAAAAGTCATTATGACTTATTTGTAATTATGTGTTCTTTGGATAGCGCATTGCTGTTCTCATGAGGCTAAACAAATTTCAAGATGCCTTGGAACTTGCCCTGTCATTTTACAAGGGGACAGCCAAAGCTATAGTTGGTGAGAATAACCTTTTTGACTTGTTAAGTGTTACTCTTAATTAAAGGGCTCAAATGACTTTGCGATAGATGTGAGAAGTGTGTGTCAGAGGTTATCGTTGAGTCTCTGCAGTTTCCATTCCTTTAGTAACACAGATGCTAAATTCCATTTTGACCTGTAATCTGACCCTGTCTTGCCATTGGATTAGCCCAGAAGTTGTTTTCGTGGTATCTATAAATTTTAGGTTGCATTATTGACCAGTAAGTTTCAATTTTGAGCCCTGATTTGAAATGTAAGTTCATTCATTCGTTCGTTCATTGAAAAAAAGATTACTTGAAGTGAGATTATTGAATATTTTTTTGAATTTATTTTCTAAGGTCTCATTGGAAGTCAAGAAATGAGAAAACACGAAGTTGCCTCCGAGGTACTGTATCGCTTTTTCTACTCGTTCCTATTTCCTTTCTTTTCTCTCTCGACAGATTATTTATTTAATCATTTTTTCCATCCTCATTTCCATTTTTCCCCCTTACCTAACCTCCAATAATTTCTCTGTTTATAATTTGGAATTTTCCTCATTTTCCTAGATTGATGAGATTCTACTGGCTTATGTGGATATAGTGATATTTGCCAATCGGCCTGAAACATGCAACAGTGTTGAGCTTAGTCATTATTTTAAGGTAAAAAAAAGCTGAAAAATGAAATGATTATTTTTGTGTTTCTGTTAATCCTAAGTTTTCAGTTACAGTGGAGAAATAGGACTGGGGGTAAGCCACTAATTTACTTATATATTTGAACAGTGGCTGGAGGGGCGAGCGTACGCGTTTTGGCGCGAAAATTCCCGCAAATTCCACAGGTAGCCCAACAATATCGGGAAAAAAGCAAAATCAATGATTTTTAGTCAAGATAAGCTTTTAGGGAAATTCATGTTTGAGAGTGTTGTATTAAAGTCCTTATTTATATCTTAGCTTCGCATGGATGGTGCAGGGTAAAAATAATTAAATAAATACCTTTGAATCAAAATACTTGAGAACGTAGTYCTGAGACGTGACAATGCAAGTCGTTATTAGCTAAAAGTTGGCTTTTCTTCACAGTGTGTGCATGGCATTTGTTTTAACTTGTACACATGCTAATTCTTTCCCTCCATGTCGTGCTTCTATACATGTAGATTAATTAATTTATTTATTTATTTGTCAATATTTATACATGCAGTGGCGGATCCAGGACTTTAAGAGGGGGGGTGGGGTTCATTTCTGCAAATCTCGGCACAACAACAACGTTCTCTTGCATCATCATTTTTCCCATGAGGCACATCTCTGGCCTAGGGGCGCTTCTGATAAAGACAACCTATCCACCAGTCCAATTCATATTAAATCTCATGAGTTAGTACCATACTTTTATTTATTTATTTGAAAAAATATAAAAAATCCAAGGTACCAGCCGGGGGAGGGGGGTTCATTGGCACCCAATGAACCCCCCCTAAATCCACCACAGACATGTACCATGTTTTTTTAGAAGGAATGATGCTTCTTTATGGGACGAATATATCCTTATCAACGTTATTATTTGATTTATGGACTTAAAATTTGTTACTAATGAAATTTTGTTTCTTTTATTAGGAGTTTGTATCTATTTTTATTCAATATTGCTTGGCTATAAACCACACGTGAGTTATTATACTTATTAATGTAGAAATACTGATGTACATACCTGTCATTGTCTGTTATCATTATCCTCGCCATTATCAATATCATCGTCAATATTACCATCATCCTGATCACCATTATCCTGATCACTATCTTCCTAATGTTTATCACCATCATCATCATCATCATCAGATCATCATCATAAGCAATATCATCATCACCATCATCTTCATTAATATCATCATCATCATTATCATCCTCAATGCATATGTCATCATCACCATCATCATCAATATCATCATCACTCATCATCCTCAAAAAGTCATGGTACTCATTATCTTTATCATCATCATCATAATCACCAACAATTACCATCACCATAGGCATCATCACCAGTCATCATTAGCATCATAGATATTATTATCATCA